TTTGATGATGTTGCCTTCCCATGCCTTGTAGGATTAGGTAGGTAGGTAGGGATTTTTTTAAATATTGTTTTGGCCAACAACAAACGTTACATGTTATAGACAAGAAAACGACGTTAGAGCATGAACAAAACTTTCAAAAAAAATTGAAACTTTTTGTGTTATAAAATTGTTCGGGTAGGCTGCTTTTTAGGTGGGTAGTTAGGCAACATCAAACAATTTTAATCTTATTAGTTATTTACCTTTTCTACAGGTGTAATGTTTCTTTTAACGCATATAGTTTTCTTGAAAAAGGCTTGCCACTTTAGAGGAGAGTTCTAAAGGAAATACACACTTTATACATGTCGTGCGTTAAGCCTAAACATTGATCGCCATGGATGTTTGCTACGTAAGGAGCAATAAGACCAAAGAGGACAAAAAGAAAAAAAAAATCGGCAAATTAATGTAGTCATTTTAGTGTTTTGGTAACTTCTTAATTAATGAAAGGGGAATGTTAATAATTATATGCTTTAAATTATATCAGTACCGAAGCACTGACTACTGACCTGGTAATACTATCGGGAATTACAGTTCACCTGTAGCGGTATCGACTTATTGCTGATTGGGAAATTAACGCTGCAACGTTAAAATAATGATGACAGAAGAGGACTTAAACGAAAGAGCAAAATTCGTTGAATATCAAATTTTCACGAAGGAGTTGGATCTTAGTTTCTTAATAATTCGCTATTTATTGAACGTGACATTTTAAATGAGTGTAATTTATAAATCATGTCAGTAACGAAAGATTGAATTCTAAGATATTGATACCCATGGGGACTAATAGTTAACAAACAGCGGTATCTCTTAACCGTATGTATCTACTGTCTAGAACAATTGAATGCAGATTGTCGAAAAGTTTGAAAATGGCGTAAACCTGTTGACTGGTTGACTGTTATGGCAATATCTGACAACGGTTATGTTGCACTTTTCTTTCAAATACCAAATCCTTAATTAATCTTATTCTCCTTAACATTTTCTTTTCTTTATACTAAAATTGTAACAATGCATGTTCAGTATACATGTATAATATTACATGTTGATGTTTTGTTGAAAGCAAGTGTATTGGTTCATAATTTGCAGAGAAACATTGATACACGAAATCAATTTATCAACACAAGTGTTACAATGTGTTAGTAAATTTGTGATTTTTACAATATGAATGCACGTCTGGAAAAGATTATTAAGGGAAGATAGTTCCACGGAGATATCAAATACATTGAAATGTGGAAGGATATCAATTCTAAAAATATTAACATTTACTTTGTACAAGGGTGTGTTTTTTCTCTGATTTTTTTATAAATTTTTCTTGTGACCTTAAATGAAATATAATATACTGGTAAACAAGGAATTGTTGCGTGCTTTTTTTAATTACACGTGTAGAACATAACGCGTAGTCGCCCAGTTGATTGTTTTGTTTGTGTAAATACATAAACGAATTGTTGGTGAAATCTAAACCAGAACAAATGCCACCAGTAGCGCTCGAGTCAAAACAGGTGCGAAGCAATATGAAAACAACAGAAGAAATTTAGATATTATATGAAGGTCAATATACAGAATCCCGACAGAAAATGAAATTCAGTGATATAATTGATTAATAAGTTACTTAAAATTAAAGTGTTTATTTTCAAAAGAAACAGTTTAAAATACTATTCAAACAATCATAATATTTTCACAGATTTAAACTGCAGTTAAATTATGGAGAATTAAATCAATGATGATTATTATGATCTGCCATCTGACGTTTAGAATGATCATCATAGTTGAAATGGAAAATGTGAAAGTTCATTCTTAATATAAAATTGATAAAGGCGTTTAACGATTTAATGAAGTTCAGTAGTTTATAAAGAGATAAATGTTTCAAACCAAGATAATCGACAGTTTTTGAAATATTAGAAATTAGTGGTAAACATTTAAATTCGTCTCCCACTCACTACATGATTTACTTGAATATTCGTTTGTCGAATGTAAGCTTCTATTCTACGCACGTGTAAGTATATATTTTGCTATTTCTAAGTCAGACAATTCTTGGAATATATGACACTTCCCGTTAAGCAAACAGCAATTGATCTTTGAATTTACTCTGGGTAAAACATTGATAGAAAAAGCCAACTAATTCATGTTACAATTTGTAATAATGTTATTATAAAGACAATACCACATGACGAAGTGTCAAAATGTTTCATTTCAATAACACAAACATACATCGCAGAACACTCCAATTGGATGCTAAAAGTGTCGTTAACACATGTAATAGGCTAGATACAAATTTACAAGTGTCAACTTCATTTTCTATTGATCGGCCAAACGAATGCCGGTGGACCGTAAATCCCCGAGAGTATCATTAGCCTCAACGAAATGCAAATGACATACAAAGTAAAATAACAAAAATTCCGAACTCCAAGGAAAATTTAAAACGGGAAGTCCCTTATGAAATTGCACAATGAAAAGCTCAAATACATCAAACGAATGAAAAACAACTGTCATATTCCTAACTTGGTACAGGCATTTCCTTATGCAGAAAACAATTTATACCATGCATGTCTTGATTTTGTCATTGATTCTAGCTAATTAAGAACACTTACCAAGATGTTTGGCTATTACTTTAAATTTCGGTTTACTCTCATAGCTCTTTAAATATATATGCATGCTTTCCTTTTGGGTGTTTCTGGTGAAATCAAAACTAGACAAGTGCTTTGTACATAACACATTACATCTATTGTTGGACTTTTCATAGGTTTGTTTGCTTTGAGCGTTCATTGACAAACTGGTAAAAAATATCCCGTCATGTGAATCGATTCGACTACATACACGTACATATTTGATGAAGACTAACCTAATGTTGTTCTATTGAGGGTGTTGGATGTTCTTGTATTTGACTTTTTGTTAGATATTCAGAATCCTCTGATTTTATCGACAAAGTGTCATGTAGATTTTTTGCCCGCTTACTCTTCTTTTCTTTTCTTTTCATAATTATATCCAAAAATAAAGAATTGCCCCATATGAACCGATTTGATAACACACATGTACATGTTTTATGAAGACTTATGTAATATTGCTATGTTAAGTGTATTCGCTGTTCTTGTTTTTTACTATTAGTCAGATATACGGAATCCTCTAATTTCAGCACTGAAGTGACATTTAGAATCGGTAAGCTTACTCCTACTTTATTTTTCCTGCCTATAGAATAGTTAGGCCTAACTATCTGAAAAAAGAATTATTGTTCTTGGCCAACCTTTACTTAATTACAGTATTTATCTTAATCAACATATGTTTTACTAAAAAAGAAATAGTGCAATTAAATAAAATTTGCGGGGTCAATCAGATCACCTATTGTTACTTAAAGTTATTTGTTTTCTTGGTATGCTTTTTATGTATTGGTCTCTGCTGTTTATAATTTTTCATGTTGTAAATATATTTTCGTTGCAATAGCACAGGTAATCCTTCCTGCAAAAAAGTATTCATTCATTCAAAAATATATAGAGAACCATTTTTCGGAAAATTTTCAATGTTTGGTAGATACAATAAAACAAGGCCAAGGACCATTCATTTAGCCTGGTCATTTTGTTCCATTATCTATATACTATATAAAGGCAACAGTAGTATACCGCTGTTCGAAACTCATAAATCCATAGAGATAAAAACAAATCCGGGTTACAAACTAAAACTGAGGGAAACGCATCAAATATAAGAGGAGAGCAACGACACAACAAAAAAAAAACAACATTAAAATATAACACACACAGAAACAAACTATAATATAACAATGTCAATTTTCCTGACTTGGTACAGGACATTTTAAGAAAAATATGGTGGGTTGAACCTGGTTTTGTGGCATGCCAAACCTCCCGCTTTTATGGCAACGTCAAACACAACACCGAAACGACAACATCACATTTTTATTTTAAAAAGGATTGTTATTTTGAAACAGAGCAGCTAACATCCCTTAACTATAAATTGACACATAAATTTGTATATAGATATAAGAAGTTGTGGTATGAGTGCCAATGAGACAACTCTCCATCCAAGTCACAATTTGTAAAAGTAAACCATTATAGGTCAAAGTACGGCCTTCAACACGGAACCTTGGCTCACACCAAACAGCAAGCTATAAAAGGCCCCAACAAGACTAGTGTTAAACCATTCAAACAGGAAAACTAACGGTCTAATTTATATAAAAAACGAGAAACGAGAAATACTTATGAGCCACATCAACAAACGACAACCACTGAACATGCATATATTTACGTACGATATCGGGATTTGGGCTACGAGCTTTGCTTGGGGAACAATTTAAAGTTAAACAATGCTCTTATTTGCATTCATATGTATATTTTATAACATTGAATCGAGAACGGAAATTATGTTTAAAAAACACACTGCTGAATATAGTATTATTAAAATATTCCTTGTCTTGTTTTTCACTTATATCCGAAACAAGCCCAAATCGTGATGTTGTGACATTTTGGTTCTGTGCCCAAATATTCAAAAATTTTACTGAATCATATACCATGATGATAAATGTGTGGTTTTGTTTTACATCAATAATTTTTTTTGATGTCGACTTAATTATATTATATTATCTAATAGTCACTCTTATTATCCGTTGAACAATTTCACATTAAGCTAATTTATAATATCATGAGAAAAAAAAACTAATTCAAAAACACTAATTTATATATCAAAATATGGCTGTTTAAAATTTGAAAACATTATTCTTAATTTCTTAAAGGTTTATAATTTGAATTCTTTCAACATTAGTTCGTAATTTCTTCATTAACAGTTGTTTTACGACTGGCACCAATATAACTTGTTTAATATAAGTAAAAGGGGTAAAAGTAAATTATGATATAATTGATGACAAATGTTTGATAAAAAAAAACCTGTATGTCGAAACATGTGCTATGTTGCTATGCTATTTTACTATGTAACATTTATAAACTTATTTTTCACAGGGCGATGGGAAATTATCCTTTCTTTGTTGTGTTAACATTCTTTTTAACTGCAGTAACAGGTAATATGTACTTATATCTATTCGAGGTTGCACTTGATTGTACACTTCTGTATTGATAACTGCTTATTTTACAATTGATTAATTTCAGACATTCAGGTGTATTTTATCAGTTTACATGCAACACGAGATGTGTATTCGACGTTTTTGTTTTAAATGCACAGTAAAAGTCTACTTCATATATATACATAGATTGCGATCAATTACGTATCAGTTATATACCTTATATAGAAATAAACAGATCTCATAACATTGCCAATGAGAAAACAATCCACGAGAGTTCAAATGATATGGTGGAACATTGTTTTAGTCTTTGCATGGCCTTCAACAATGGGAAACAAACCATACAATACAGTCAGCTAAGGCAACGACATAAAAAATGTGAACCAATTTAAGCGAGATTACTAACGGCCTAATTTGTAAAATCAATTTACGAAAAAAGTATGACAGACATGAACTAACTTCAACTACTGAATGACGTCTCCTGAATTTAATAGGCGCACCCGGCGCATTTTTGTGCCTGTCCCAAGTCAGGAGCCTCTGGCCTTTGTTAGTCTTGTATGTTTTTTTTAATTTTAGTTCCTTTATATGTTTTGGAGTTTAGTGTGACATCCATTTTCACTGAACCAGTACACAATTGTTTTAGGGACCAGCTGAGGACCACCCCCGGGTGCGGGATTTTCTCGCTGCGTTGAAGACCCATTGGTGGCTTTCGGCTGTTATCTGTTCTTTGGTCGGGTTGTTATCTCTTTGACATATTTCCCATTTCCATTCTCAATTTTATGCATTATGAATTTGGCAGGGTTAAATATTTTTGTGAGCGGTCGACTCTACCTTTCAACTGGAAAAGTGGTGAAACTGCACAACATAAAAACAATTAGTAACAGTCTGTTGTAAATGGCTTTAATAAATAGATCGGACGGAGCTCAAATAACAAGTAACATAAATACAATAGACACAAAGCACTTGCAAATGCTGAAAGCTACTTAAGAGCCAATTACATCTTATAATAAATCTTGTGCTCCTAGACTAAAGTGTCAATCAGTTAACATCCAACGCATTTAGGATGAAGACGTCAAAGAAAATCTGAGAAACGCATTACCTGTTATTCACTTCTAAGTATAGTAAAGTGTATAATGTTATGCCGCTTGTATATTTTCTCTCTGTTAAAAAGAAACAAATAACACCATAATCAAAGGAAAACAACAAAAAGACAGAAAAAAAAGAATGCACAATGCACTTCAAAAACATGTAATCTATAAAGTACGTTTGCAGGAAATGTTGGTTTCAACTAAGGAGGAAACTATGTATTTTTTAGCAATCAATATTATGATTAAGCAATACATCATTTACATGATATAAAAAAAACGCTGTTATTGTTTTTTTTTTTTCATCCAGTCAGCATATATCGTTTATCGTTCTTTTTCTTACTGCAATTGTTTATCCATACCGACGAATTTAAATGCGACAAGAGGTTTACAATCAGACATGGGATTGACTCATTTATGAAAGCGAGAAGTGACATTTTTTTTACAATCTAGTGCTTTTGGTCCTTGGCTCCTATTTGTATTACGTTCATTTAGAACATGTTTTAAAACCATTTAAACAGCTCATATAATGTGAAACTAAACAGGTTTTTAAATGTTGTGTTTAGCATATGTTTGCCCTGATTGGCAAAGAAACTGTGCTGATGGACACAAATGTGTCGACGAAAAAAGTTTGTGTAACGGAACCGTAGATTGTAGCGATATGTCAGATGAAGATCCAGGCTTTTGTCGAGGTACTTTCATAATTAACTGCTTAGTCTTTTTCTCGAACAAGGATTTTTATTTTCTATATCGTTTAATATTTAATATACAATGATACTTTGGTAATAATCAAAATAATCAAAAACAACGATAAACGGTTTTTTGCGAGTTGTTTTGAATGAAAAAAATCCAGCCATTTATAAAAAAAAATAATATTTGGCATGGTATTATATCCGTGTTGTTATATCAGTTATGGTAAAATTGATGTTGTAACTTGATACAATAATGTCTACGATGTGTATACAGATGCTTTAGTGGGAACGAACTCAGTATCACAATACAAAAATACAAATGAACTAAGTTTTTAAATGAATCTCATTAGTGTCACATATAATGAAATTTTACGGCTCAAAATTAGCATGGTTCGTGTTGCTTAGCCTTTAGTTTTCAATGTTGTGTTTTGTGTACTATTGTTTGTTTTGTTTTGCCATGGCGTTGTCAGTTTATTTTCGATTTATGAGTTTGAATGTCCCTCTGGTATCTTTCGCCCCTCTTTTACCTAACAACTGTTTTCATGACATAATTTATCATTAGATTAGATTTTACATTGCATACTTATTTTAATTGTTAATCTATGTGTCATTTGGTCTCTTGTGGAGAGTTGTCTCATTGGAAATCATACCACATCTTCTTTTTTATATATATATCTAGAATATAGCTGTAGTGATTACGATCAAAAGTGTTCTGACGGATTACAATGTATCGGTAAATACAGTTTATGTGACGGCTATGAAGACTGCACAGATGGATCAGATGAGGATCAAGACTTTTGTAGAGGTATTATCTGTCTTGTTTTTAACTGCACCGAAAGACTCGACTTTCTTCAAATGTTTCTTTTTGGTTTGTTTGATTTATTTTATTTATATACCTGTTTAATCGTCATGTTTATTTCATAGCGATGGAAATTCATTCAAATGTGCTTAGTTATCACTCTTTCAAAATCAACAATGAAGATCAAAGGCATTTAAATTGAAAAATGTTCTACGTTCACTCAAAATATATTTAAACGCTACTTGTAGTTAATGTAAGCTTATTAACCAGAGAATATATTTCATCGATTTAATCATAAAGCTTGACATCAACAAATATGAAAACAAAGAAATTGTCATATACATGTATACAAATATTTTGCAGTAATGGAATGTGACAGCGACAACGTGAAATGTGATGATGGCATACAATGCATTTATAAACCAAATGTATGTGACAAATACACACATTGCAATGACAAATCTGATGAGAATGAAGATATGTGTAAAGGTGAGACATTAAAAGTCAGATTTTAGTTTCATTGAAATAATTTAGAAGTTGGATGTGTATTTGTATGGTGAGTTGTTGAAAACAAATCATTACACGTTTGACATGTTGATAAATAATTTCGGTGTGTTTGTAACAGTAGGAGTAGAATCATAACTTTAAAATAAAAATTATTTATACTATAGATAAAAAGGAGACTATATCTGCGAGACTGCAAGCCAACGGCACAAATAACCTTATGTCGAGAAAAAAATTGCATTGTTTAATTTGATTTCTGGATAACGATTAATGTAACTACTTCGTCTACAATGTCTACTGCATAAATGATTCAGATGACAATCCTGAATAATCCAAAGTAAATATTTATAGATTATAACATGTCCAATTATATATCGCCCCGGTATCATTCCGAGACTCCCATAAAATCCCAAGTCGATATATATTTATATACGAGGACTCATATTTTTATTATTCCATCTGGCAAGATCATACATATGTCCTCCATTGAAACACAAGCCCCACTAAAAATGGGGTGATCTCAGGTGTTTTGGAAGGGTAATCAGATCCTGCCACACATGTTGCATCCGTCGTGTTGCTTATGTTAAGTACAAATCCCTTATTCGGTAGGTCGTATTCGGGTAAAAAGGGACGATTCTGTAGTTATGACAATTGGAACATATCTGTCGTCATCTGCGTAACAGATTTCCGTGACCGTCAACCAACTCGTGATGGCGTCCGTAAAATTTTCGAAGGGATCATTTCAACTTAACCGCTTTGAGCTCTTGGTTACATAGCCTATTCGTGAGCAGCAATCCTATATTAAGAACATTATGACAGAAAACACAAGCTCTGGAATAATATATCAACTGGGAGATATATACTCCGTATGCAGGCGCTTCCGGAAACGCAGCATACTTTTCAGTGTTGTTCAAATACTTTTTATGATGACTCGGTTCGAAAAAGGTATTTTCTGACTTGAAACTTGCATAATGACCATTGAATTTATTGTAGAAAATAGAATTTGTATTGATCTGTATTATTGATACAAATTCAAATATTGCTATATTTTTTTCCCGAAGGCTGATTTTCATAATGTTATCCAGGAAATTTTTGTAACACTTATTAGATAAGAACTACTGTTTTTAACATTATTAAGGATTTCAAATAAGATTTTGACAATATTAAACTTATCTTAAAACAGGGTTTAGACAAATTGTTCACGTTTGCATGGTAGAAATTGCGAGTTTGCTTTTCTTTGCTTTTTTGATTATTATTCTATGTAGAGGTGTAATATAGAGGTTGATTGAATTATCAGGTTATTTTGATAAGTGTTTTATTGTGATAAATGTATACGTCAATTACAGCTAGAACTTGTGAACCTTACGAGTCAAAGTGTGCAGACAATTATCAATGTATAAACAAAGACAAGGTTTGCGATGGAAATAAGGACTGTTATGATGAGTCTGATGAAGATCCAGTGGCATGTAAAGGTACTTTTAACATTTATCTAACTGATAATGTTCCGAAATATTGAATCAATATATAGATATTTTTGTAAAGCACAGTGCATATCCACTTGTTCTTGAATTTCCTATTCAGTTTTTAAAACCAACACATTTGTTAAATTATCTATCTAGCTTTCCCTTCGTATATCATCTGAGTACTACATAAAATGAATTTTTCCTTAAAACTATAAAATTCGTGTATTCTAAACAACTTCACTGCTGTCATCTAGATAATTATTGTACTATCAATAACTAAATCATAAAGATGTGGGGTAGATCGCCACGCACCACTGGTAAAAACTTTAAACATTTGATCATAAAAGATTTATTGCAATAGACAATATATTTACGACTTGGTAAACTAAACCTTGTGAAAGAATTTCTAACCACGTCCAATGTGGACAGAAGATTGAATTAAAAATATGTTCAAAATAAAAATAAAAAAAGAATACCGAACTCCTTTGAAAATTCCAAACGGAAAGTCCCCTTAACTTATGGCAAAATGAAAAGCTTAAAACACATCATACGAATGGATAACAACTGTCATATAAGCCATCAATTTGGTAAACATATTTCAAATACATGTTATAGACGTATAACTATAAACATTCGACAAGATAAACCGATTATTAATCTGACGGACTGTTCTGGTTATTTTCTAGAATACCAATGTCCAAAAAGTAAAGTTAAATGTACGGATGGAAAAGAATGTGAACGTCTAGACAGTATCTGTGACGGCCGTGAAGATTGTCGTGATGGTAGTGATGAAGATATAGAAAAATGCAAAGGTAAACACCAATAATAGCAGAGGAGTAAACATTAAAAGAAGTATATTCAAGAAGATATTAATTCCCTATCATTCGAAAATATATTTTGTCTTCAATATAAAAAATGTTCATGGTTGTGTTTCGGGTTTTAAATTTAAGTCAGAATCAATAAAAGCATGTTTAGTAGAAAAATTGTAAGACGTTGAAGATGATTTGTAAATATAGTAGTTTTTCACAAGTTAAACATGTTAAAGTATAAATGTCTCAGATACAAATAGGTATTTTGTGATCGGATCTGTATTTGACTTTTTTACCTGATCCAAAGACGTGAGTACATATGGATTCCTTTCAAATTGTAAACGGCTCCGGGATTGTAATTCAAAAACATGTCAACTTAAACTTGTAAAACAATAGCATCCAATTATTAGTTGGATTGTTGTTTCTCCTTGTGCATGCTGTGCTTGAATAATTAATAGTTTTTGTAAACCATGTAGTCATGTTTTGAAGAAGTGTCATGTTGTGGATAATTTGTCATTTTTGAATGTCGTATATGCAAATAAAAATTAGTATTAGCATGCACGACATGTACATATCTTAGATAATATTGATGACAGATCATATTTGTCAACTAAATCTTGGGTATCATAATGCACCATTGGTCAATCATTCGATAAACAATCCTTCGAAGTATTCCTTCTACCTACATAAATAAAATTTGCCTTGTCCGGATTTCGATATTTGATTTTTGTTGTTGTCTATGCTCTACAGGCGCTGGTGAGACTTATATTGCAGTATTGCATACAAAACATTTACGACATAAGCGCCGTTAGTGCTATGTCGATTATATATTTGTAACAGTTAATCTGCTTTTTATTGTAGATTATGAGTGTCCTCACGGATTTGTTAAGTGCAAAGACGGACTGCAGTGTGTTCGTGATTTTTACATGTGTGCTTGGAATTTTCTTGATCCTGTTCCACAGTGTAAAGATGGTTCCGATAATGATACAGAGTTTTGTTCAGGTACAAATTTGTGGATGATCTAAAATGAGTAAACAGAGATATCAAACGTGTCAAGTTATAAAACTTTTCAGATTGGTTCAAATTGGAAAAGAAGGAGAAAAGGTCCTTTCTAAAAAAATTTATGCAAACAAAAATTTCGATGCAATAAGCTTAGGCAGTATCGTTCTTAAACCAGTTGACTTGATAATACCTTCCTACTGTATAGATCAGTCAAGATCACACACAAATTTTCTAATACAAACACGTGCTGCAGAATATCAATATTGACGACTTCAAGTCTCAACATATTAATTGCGACTGTTCTAGTTCTCTATTTATATATACTCCGTCTGGTCACGTCATTACTTTTGACCTGGACATTGCCATAAACACTTCATTACGTAATGTGTTATCCAAAAGGCTCAACATATCGTAAGCCTGAATCCAACAATTGGAAGTACAACTACCCAGTTCTGATATAAATACTTTTTTACAAATAGGTTAAGACAGGGGGTCGTTCACACAAATTATAACTTTTTTTCCGTACATAAAACAAACAAATCAACAAATAAGTTTAGACTCATTTTAGTTTTTTTAGCTTTATATTTATACATATATATATTACACTGGATAGGTTGATTTTCAGTTATTGAGATGTATACTTGGATTGTATTCCCAAAGGTTCTATTGTACAGTTACATGTATAGGTCTAAGAACAGTTGTAGAGGGGGATTTAGGGAGGCCAGGGGTCATGCCTCTTTTATGAAGCTTCCTATATGTTTAATGAATGGAATTTCTTAAAGTTTTACTCCAAACGTTGGGTTGCTTTTCCCAACCGCCTTTTCAAAATCACCGATCGGCACCTGATTTGTTATACACTGCTAACATCGACACTTTAACGAAGTTGCTTATGTAATACTAATAATGTTGAACCGTTAAAATTAAGATAGCGTCTGGCTACTTTAAATAAAGCTTAAAATTTTGTCCAACTTCATCTACAGCCAACATGTGAACAACGTCGGATAGAAATCGATTTTATGCAAATAAAAATCAATACATAAGTTAACCTATTTCGGGTTGAAAAAAATTAGATAGAAGTATGTAACCGTTTGAAAATTAAGTTGATATAGAAAACCTGCAAAACAGACCAAACAAATCATTTATTTCGAAGATGAATGTTCCAAAATCCATCAAAGTCTTATACATGTATATGTACATGTGGACTTGCAAAAATTCATTTTCTATCCGTTGCAACTCATGTGATCTTAATCATAAACATTTTGAAATCCCTTTTAATTAATGTCTGACTTGGTTCAAATTAAAATGTGGAATGACTCATCCAAACTTCTAGAAAGATTATTGTAAAATTAATTTCCTCATAAGTGTAAAAAGTAAAATCACAAAAATACTGAACTCCGAGGAAAATTCAAACCGGAGAGTCCCTAATCAAATGGCAAAATAAAAACCTCAAACACACCAAACGAACAACTGTCATATTCCTGACTTGGTACAGGCATTTTTCTTATGTAGAAACATTGATATTAAAAAATCATATCAATTCGAACATTTAGACGAAATAAAAAGTAAAATCACAAAAATACTGAACTCCGAGGAAAATTCAAAACGGAGAGTCCCTAATCAAATGGCAAAATAATAACCTCAAACACACCAAACGAACAACTGTCATATTCCTGACTTGGTACAGGCATTTTTCTTATGTAGAAACATTGATATTAAAAAATCATATCAATTCGAACATTTAGACGAAATAAAAAAGTAAAATAAACCTACCCGTTGCAATTCAACGTTCAATCTTGAATTCCTGAAATCTTTAGAAATATCGGAAATTTGTATTCTCTTGCATCCATATCCGAAACATCTCATTGCTTCCACATTTTTTTCATCTGTAACGTTATCCTTCACCAATGTAAATGCGCATCCAGATGCCGGTGTATATTAGCTTAAGGCAAAAGGCATAAAAAGAATATTTTAACTCGTCTCGTGAGGTTATTGCCGTGGGTTTGAACAAAAGCTAAAATATAATTCACTTAACCCCGAAAACTATTCAAAAGATATGAAATATCTACAACTAATGATATTTATATTAAAAACAAAGTTAGATGATTTTTTTTAAGTTAACAATTTCCATCTATCAAATTCCAGAAATAAAACGAAAAAGTCAACTTTGAGGTTTTAAAAGCTGTGCCAGTGTTTAAAAATATAATACCGGGAAGCAAAGGCAGATTGAAATTGTCGCTGAATTCAAGCATTTGAAATCGATCCTTTCTATTTAATATCTTATCTTGGTTGTATGATTTTTTAATTAAGAGATGCACTCCTCCCCCCCCCCCCCCCCCCCCCCAAAAAAAAATGACATTATATATGCTAAACATAAAGGATAAGTACACCGAAAATGATTTATTTTGACTTGTTCGGTCGTACTGTCAAGATGTTTATGAATGGAGTAGAAACTGCGAGACAAACTGATTTTGTGTTGTCTGCTGTGCTGTGTTGTTCTAATGTTGGCTGGTGAGGGCCATATAAACCTTATCCCTCATGAATCTATATGAAATATATTGCAATCAAGTTTTTTTTGTAAATAGACACACAGAGAATAATACTACAACGACATTAAGATAATAAGAAACTTATTTCGTTAAGCAAATGACGCCAATGAGATCTCAGCATAAACACTTGCATTAATATTCTGACATATGTAATATATTTTTTGTCTGGAAACTATTGTCCAAAAATACACCTTTAAGTATCAAATGACTAATTTGTATGCCCAATTAAAACATACAATAGACTGTAGGGTTTAACGCATCCTGAATTATGTTCCAAATAACATAATTTGCAGATTTTTATTTCTTGATTCACGTGATGCGTAGCAGATCTTTGTAGCAAATCACATATTGAATACATTCTTATTACATCTCCGAGCAATTATTTTAGATACAAACATGTACATACGAGAGAATAATTCAATCGTAATATACAACTCATTTCATTGAAGTATAAGTCATCGAATTTTAACATTATAATATGTTGATAAGATTTAAGTAAAATGTGTAAAATAATTCTGGTATTTGTCTTTTTTTTTCACCTAATACGAATATTAATAGATGACTCTGTAGTAATCAGTCAAACGGCAATTTATTTGTGAGTCATTATTGCAGCTATCGAATGTCCAGTTCATCGTGTAAAGTGTCCGAATGGTCATGAATGTGTACATCAGTCAACGATTTGTTCTGGGGAACAGATGTGTAATGGCGAGTCAGAAGATGAACAACAATTTTGTACAAGTAATTTATTAATTTTATCAACATTAGTGTTTTCTACCGTTACAATTTACAGGATGAAATGGTAACACGACTTCTTCTTTTTACTTAAGATATTAGAACTGTTGAGTTAGTTACCATATAAAGTGCGTAAACATTAATATATTGCATTTCTTCGTGCTGTTGTGCTATCAGAGTTATGGAAAAAGAACCGACCACACAGTGTACTTATCTACCTGGGGTCTTATCAAAATTATCATATACATGTACTGTGAATTCATCTATGTTTGTGGGTACCAATTTTCGAGGATTGAGGAACACTTGCATTTCCGTGGCTATTTTATTTCACCGTTTTTCGAAACATCTACCGTTACTTGGGAAATTTTGGCGTCGGGATATTTTGGCGTTTTTTTTTGAAAGGCATGTGTTTTATTTTGGTGTGTGTAATTTTGGTGCTTCGTCCAAATGATATGTTTAATTTTGGAACAATAGTAGTGAGCAAGCTCATTTATATTTGCCTTTATTTACCTGTATATTGACAAAATATCATTGACTTTCTCAAACTAGAAACATGACAAAGTAAACTTAATAAAGGAATAGGATACGGATGCAATTGCACATATGTCCGTGTATTGTGGTTCAAAGCTGAAAAAAAGAAGAAATAAATTTTAAACATTAAAATCACTTTTTAAATAGATTATTTATTTTTTACAAATATCATATGAAATACATTTTTATCATCTCTGTTGCAGTACAAGTTAATCTATTGACGATCAAGGATTTAAATTTTAATCCTTATACATCTGGCAGTACATGTTAATTAATTGAAGATAAAGGATGACCAGGAGTTTTGATATTCTAATTACCAAACAGCGCCTAATCAGCAATAGCCTGGCATATATATGACATGTGTAAATAAAAATTCATGTTGTGTTTTCTTAACAATTTCAGAAAATTGACAATTAAGTAAAAGTTATATAGTGTTGTTTCCAAATTATACCAGGTATTTATTTGCAGATTTGGCTATGTATAGAATTGTAGGAAATATACGGAAGATGTAATAACATACAACAATATTTTCCCCAACAATTAACATTACGATATTGTCGTACCAGTACGCAATAATGGCGTTTCAATTTTTAGTGTTTGCTTTATTTTCGCGTGTTTAATTTTTCACTTTCATTGGAGGCACCAAATAAACCAAAATAAAACTACAACCAAAATAACCCAATTTACAGTAATTGGTAATTCGTTTAACATTTAAATTAATTTTGTGGGTCACTTAAATCCATGAAATCCACAAACATAGTTACCCAATGAGTTAATAATGAATTCACAGTAAAGTTCGATGAGGATGTTCCAGAACATTTGTTATTGTTATGCTACTTTAATTCATATTCAATCATTATTTAGAAATGACAACACAGATACTTTGCAGATATTTTAGGCAGGTTTTACTATGAAAGATTTTCATTTGTGAAATTTGTAATCCAATATAATTGTTGACTTTTAATTATGCGATACGCTAATCTTTGCTTCTGAAAAAATAAGCACAGACTTTCGAATGACTATGAACACATCTATGTCCATTTTGAAGAATAATTTTTAAGATAAATACATATGCTGTGTATTCGCATACATAGATCGCATATGTATCACTTTACACGTCAGCTTACCTTTCGGGGCTCCTGAAATCAGCCCTCCCCCTTTTCCCCGGTTTTTTTTGTTCTTATTACTCAGTCTATAATTTCAAATAATACATTTTTGTAGACTGTTCTTTGTCTGTTGATGTTTTTTTTGATTGTTTCAATGACGTTGTCATTTTGATTTTGATTTATGAGTTTGGAAATCCATTTGTTATCGTTCGACCCTCTTCATCGGCTTACATCTTTAAGATATGTCATGTATACCAAAAATTAAACATGTCTCCAAATGTGAACCTATGTATTAATAAAGGTAACAGTAGTATACTGCTGTTCAGTAGTCATACATCGATAAGGCTAAAACAAATCCGGGTTATAAATCATAATGTTTAATTTCCTGAAATTTGAATCATATGGTTACTCTCTCTGCATATGTACTGTCAGTCCGGTTTGTATTTTGATTGTTTTTCGTTCTCATTTTTGTTTAGTGAATATCCAGGCCTCAAGGAGGAAACAGACAATTGTCATCTTTATTTCATATTTATTAAAAATTCGAAAATAATAATAAATATATGTCATATAGATATTTTGTTTAATTACAGCACGTAGTTGTGGTAACATGATGTCCAAATGTGATAATGGATATCAATGTGTGTTTGATTTTATGAAATGTGATGGCTACGCAGATTGTTCAGATGGTTCAGACGAGAATCCAGACTTCTGTTTAAAGAGTATGTTAACGTGCATAAAAATAATTATTATTTTTTTTATATCCAATGAACTTAACACGTTTATAGTTGAATTGTTTAAGTTATGAACATGCTCGGTGAGTTTCAAAAACAGCCTGAAGCTTACAAATGAAGTCATTTATCAAATATTTAGAAAATTAGTTTCCCTATCAAATGTGGTCAGACCATATGGTGCTTGTTGTGAGGCCACGAATATATATAAAAGCTGCCCTTGTTTCAAACATATGCATATAAAGATAGCTCTACACTTTAAATATATCTTAAAACATGGTTCTATGACATCTTGTCTTTGCTGCAGGTAAAATTCCACAAAAAAGAGTACGGTCACTAGTTGTTGAAAGTTAAACAGAGTAAACACACAATGATTACTAGTCATTGTGTTGCGTAAAATATACCCCACATTTTTTTGCCAAAACTGTTCTTTGAAAAAGATGACGTTTCATGCAAATAAAGACAGCATTTGTTTTTTATTACTTTGTACATATATTAAATTGATTGATGAACCAAATAAAAAAAAAAGAGTTGAAAATGTCCTTTAAGCTACTATCTAGTAGATTATTTTCGTATTTGCTTTGCGAAATGATTCGAAACAATATGCAGAGGTACCAGCAGTGATTGAAATAAGAAATAAAAGTTCGATAGTATTTACTGTAACGCTCAAGTGATTATATATTTTCGAAACTGTTTGATTTAATAAACAAACAAAACACATAGTTGTTACAATACATATACAAGACCTGCATTGATAGTTATATCGTTAATCCTCAAATATTACACCATTTACTTTGTTATAGTATACACTTAATTTTGGTACAGTGTTTGTTATTTTGAATCATTTGCAACACTTGATTGGCATGTTGAAACCCACTTGACCTTTCAGATCTTAGATTCAGCTGAAGAATACAGTGGCTATGAAAAACAAAGGTAAATTTATTAAAAGGGAATAATCGGTTGAATGATTTCAGATGTATAAACAAGTTTTAATTCTTAACATTTTTTTTAAAGATCGAATCTGTCCAGTCGGAATGGTGAAATGTGCAAATAACGTTCAGTGTATCTATGAAATGCATTTTTGTAGTGGATTTCCTGACTGCAGCGATGATTCGGATGAAAATCCAAAGATGTGCACGAAAGGTAAAACAAGATCTGTCATTTTGTAAACAAATTGCTTGTTTAAGTAACCTATAAGAGTAATGTATACAACATCAAATGCCTGGTATGTTTGTTCGTTTGTTTAGCTGTCATGTAAAATATTCGAACAACATGTTAGTAGTTAGGTTTAATATACAGATTTACAAATATATATATTGAGGTTAGACACTAAAGAACTGCAAAAATTACCGAGTTGTTAAGAGAAATTTGATGATACCTAATTTGAGTAGTCTTAAGATTAGATGTTATCGGAAGTATATAATATATCAATTTGAACGTTGTTTTCAATTTAGGTATATTTATATATATAAACAAGTCTAATTTGAAAACTACGTTCAAACCTATGATTGTGTTGGATAAAAAACCGAAATTTTTATACGTGTGCATGCAAAACAAAGGCTTTTTTGGTAGAGGGGTCTAAATACAGAACAAACAACATTTTCCAAAAGACCAAAAAAAGTGAAAAGGTATATTTTTACAAAACGCAGTTGACCAGGACATGTAGGATGTTCTTAAACCCTGCTGACTGCCATTGGCGATTGCCAAACAAACGGATCACCAGATGAAACAAAATGGATCTTAATTATTAATTTAATACCAAACAGAAAACAATAAACTTGCGGAAAAGATGGTATACCGCAAACAAAAGGTGCAAAAATTAGTACACCTTATCCAGAATTCGCCAATACATATATATATATACATGAAAGGTTTTTTTTACATAATATGTTGTTGAGTCGTGTAATGAGTATATATTATTTCATACAATTTTGATATAAAGATTTGACCTCAGTTTCGCTCTACAATGGCCCGGTCGTAGTTTTTATTGAAGGAAACATAGTAAATCACATGCACACACGACTTGTACATGTATTCTCGATTCGTTGTATAAACATTGATTGACTTACATATCTTTCCCGTTGAAATTCACATAATATTTTTAATTGAACATGATATATGTCCCGGCATTAAAACAAAGCTACGTATTACAGACAGAGTTTGCCCTACTGGAATGTCAAGATGTTCTGAAAATAATCCGATGTGCATATATGATAGTTGGTTCTGCAACGACCTACCAGAATGCGAACACAGTGAGGATGAAAATCCGAATATTTGTTTTAATCGTAAGTAGATTCTTAATTAAACACATGTGCTCATGAAAATGTTCACTTGAGTATTTCTGATCTACGCTATGTATAACATGTATAACGTGTGAACAGATTTTGTGATGTGCACGAATCCTGCCTTAAAATGATTTCGACGTGCGTAAAATATATTTCAATGTTCCTCTTGGAATTCGACGTTTTCAGTTTACTTTGGAGTAAGATATGTTTGTTAACACTTTTTCAAAGCACCATTTTCTTTGGAAGTGTTCGTTCCAAGTCAGAAAATTGAAATTTGTTTTCCGTTGGTTGACATAGTCTAATGTTTGATTTCGTCAGATTTTGTCATGTTTATGGATTTCTCTAATTCAAAGTAACATAGAATTTACTTTGTTAGCTTATTTTTAAAACTTTAAGTATGAACAGTAAATATCAGTTGTTTTTGTTTCCTTTTGTCTTTTTTTTTCGTATTAGTGCAATGTTTAAGCTTCATGATGTTTCTAGATAGACATTGATAATTGTAATATTCTTTATGAATGTTCCTTCAATGAAACATGTCTGTAATGAAAAAAGTCTTATAATTACAAATAAAATCGAGTAAACAAGAAAATGTTAAGACATTAAGTTCTTGCGCAAAATTTGATTTATAGTCTAATGATATCGTGATATGGTACAGTTTAATACTTTGGGATACTCTGATTTTTGTCGTCATTAATACACTACATTTTGAAATAAAGGCTTGTTCTTGTCTAATTTTCTCCCAACCATTAATGTTTGTACATGACCGACAGAAATGTTGATACAGTTCCTAAAAGGCATTCTTAATGCAGTGTCAATTAAAGATAAAGAACACCGTTACAAGTAGATTTATATATATCTAAGTGTATCTTACATGTCTTAAGTCCATTTGTAAATTTTGTGTCGACTGCTGATTTCTCAATACTTTCAAATTTCTTTTTTCTTATTTTTGAAGAACACTGTTTCGTAGAAGTAACGTGAAGAATGTATCGTTTAGAATAAATTCATGAACTGTACAGAATACGATAAACTATTTATCTAAACATGTTTAATAGTCATGATAATGTTTGCAATATATTTTTAAGACATTCAATGATTTTGTTATTTTACTTAACAGGTCCAAAAGGATCCAAAATATTTCCGGATTTTTAGTAAAGAGTATAAGCTATCATCATACGACGACAGATAACAAATGCATTATGGTATGCATGCTACTTGCCTATACTGTACACAAGGGATTGCAATTTTGTTCGTAAATAATTTGTTTTGAGATTTTATTATTATATATTAAAAACGTTATACAATTTGCCCTGGCATTGATAGATTTCAATCAGTTTATTTGTATCGATGATGAAAAGCAATTGCTAATATGCCTTGCCTCAATGGCGATATACAAATCAGCCGAAAATCACCACTACCGTTGTAACTATTATTTGCGACAACACCATTTACATTAAATGTAAAGAATTATCATTATAAAATCCCACTCACACTGAAGGTTAGGGTATATATAACCTGTTTAAACGAGCATGAATTATGCTTATACGATCAAACTAAAACGGTAATTTTGTTTTTTAAATTTGCATTTTAACAGTGCTTGTATATATAAACATGTGCCCCAGTAAAATATACCACATTTTCGCGCAATCGTCAGTGTTTTGTTGTTTGTGTAAGAATTTGTATTTCATCTACTGATGCTCATTTCAAATAATTGATTGCTTAAAAAGTGGTGGCTGTTTGATTTAATTTGCTAATTTAACATTTCCTGATGGATATTCAAAACTTAACTCTGTCCTCGCATATGTGGAAAAGAAAAAAGTACCGCATACGGATTTTTCTGGAATAGAAAATGTCAAGTAATAGAAGCATGGAACGTTCTGTAAAACACTAGTAAATGACTCATAATAGTGATTGCCTTGTTGATCTTATAAACGTTAGAATATAACAATAACAAAGTTCAGTGATTGTAAGATATATACATTGCAGTAAATCCATGTTTACAAAAGGGAAAACTGCCACAGAGACAGTCAAAAACCATAAATTCAAGAAAAACAGACAACAATAAAAAAGAGCTAATAAAAGACCTAAAATCCGAACAACACTACATAAAACACTTAAGATTAAGCACCAAAGCCCAAAGCAAACAGTAGTATTCAACTGGTGCTCTGACAGGATCCATAGCCCCTTCTTGACGTATGACACCTATGGTAATGCTTATTACATGTAAAAATAAAATGATAATTCGGGTTCAATTTTGTCATCATCTAGAAAAAAACATGGTATTTTATAGACAACCACGAATGTAACATATATTCCATAACGGTTGGCAAATAAAGAAAATGATAGCATTAGGACTTATTATCATAATGTAAAATAAACATTATTCTGTAAAGTACTGTTATGTGATTACTTTAAATATATTTCCATTTTAATAATTACCAAGGGGTTTTAGATTATATTTTTAAAAGTCAACAGACATCTATTTGTCTTATAATTTTTACCTCAAAGGTAAGCAATCAGATTAACACATGATGCATGTATTTTTTATTCTATTGACAAACTATGATAGCTGAAATGACATACAAATATCAACGCAAACAAACATAGTTATTTGGTGTTATCTTGAAAGATAAACCAAAACAAATATAGTTTGTACAGATTAAATATAAAAAAAGATGTAGATGGACATAAAGTACGGTAATCTTAATTTAATGAAGGCAATTGGCTATTAAAAGGATAGCTTGCCTTTCGAACTTCTGTAAAAAATTTTGAAATGTCAAATATTTAATGTAGTGCTTTAAGTTGTTAGCACTTTCACTAGTCTATTTACTTAGATAATAGCTCATCAAATACGAATTTCTTCTTCTATGTAAGTATAAAGATTAGCAAAAGGGGTAAACATATATTCTGAGCGCTCATTACACCTTCGAAAATGTATAAATGCTTTATTTTAGAGGTTCTCACTACAAACTGCTTAGAGCATGTTGTTAAGACCATGTGTGTGCTTTTCATCTGAAAAAGGGGAACGAAAGATACCAAAGGGACATTCAAACTCATAAGTCGAAAATAAACTGACAACGCCATGGCTTAAAAAGAAAAAGACAAACAGACAAACAATAGTACACAAAACACAACATAAAAAACTAAAGACTGAGCAACACGAACCCCACAAAAAACTGGGGGTGATCGCAGGTGCTCCGGAATGGTAAGCAGATCCTGCTCTACATGTGGCACCCCTCGTGTTGCTAATGTTAGTACAAACCCGGTAATAAGTCTTATTCGGCAGGTCACACTCCGGGAAAGGGGATTTAGTACCTATGAATTAAAACATTAAATTTGACAACAATACACCAATCTATCAAACAACCTGGCATTCTGTTAGATCAATATATAATTGAAATAGCTGCAAAGTTTATAAAAATTCAAGCTGATTTGAAAAAGTAATAGAAATGATTAAATGTGATTATCTGAATTTAATCAGAACTGAACATTCTGGCTTTTTTAACCTATTTATTAAATTATTTATTTTGACATCAGTGAACCAAACTACCAAATAACCTGGAATTTTGAAAGATTGATATATAATTGAGTTATATTGATTGATTCAGACCATTCGAGACAAAGGTCAAGACTGGTCGAGACAGGTCGAGACTTAGTTAAGACTAGTCGAGACTGGTCGAGTATTTGAGGAGACCATATTCAAACCATACCAAGATTGTCCAATACTCAATCAGACTCATTAGATAAAGTCGAGACCAGAGTGCAGTTAAGTACAGTTTAGTACTGTCGAGATTATATCGAGTCTTGTTAAGTAAAATCTGTGCTCGACCAGTAACAAAATATGGTCTTTTTAGTCTCTGAGCAGTTTATAGTGTCTGCAGTGTGACATATACTATTCTATTAAGATACAAAGATAATTGTCGTTTAATTTTATTATTTTTTAGTATGGGATACCATACATCATATGCAATCGTGGTGTATCTGTACCCATAGAAGCTATGAAAACGGCTACCCCAGGAATACAAATAAGTCCACAGTAGTTACATGTTAAACTCGTTTGACAGACAGTGAACAACTATAAAGGAACGACTCCAACGTACGTTTTCATTTTGAATGGTATACACAAAAATACTCTGTTATTTATTACTGCTACTCAAAATGGTATTACATAAAACCAAACTTTAAAGGCAATTGAATAAAGGAGAGGTCCACACAAATCTGACAAAATCAACCACTCGACTATATAAACCGACAAGAAAAACGTTTGTCATATTTCTATAGTTCCGTTAAATTGACAAATGGACCACTTTCAGAGAATTATACCCCAGATATAAAAACTCATCATAGATATTTAGCTTATAATGTGGTAGACTACTTGTGTTTTTCATCTTTTGTATGACTCATCTGTAGCGCTCGAATAAAAACAGGTGCAAAGCCAAATCAAAACTACAATTGAAATTCAAATGTTAAATGAAGGTAAAAAAACATAATCCTAACAAAATATATCATTAAAAGTATAGAAATTATTACAGAGCTACTTGATTATTAAACAAACAGTTAAAAATACTATGCACATGATCATGATATTTCAACGGATTTTAGAATTCAGTCATATAATGAACAGTCAAACAATGGTGATAATTATAATTATGATTTTATTTTAATTTCAGGTTATTTCTATGTAATTATTTTTTTCCCGAATCGTCAGTAAAAGTAATAAGCGTGTAGAGTGGTCATCATAGGTGAAATGGAAAATTTGGAAGTTCATTGATAATATAAAATTTTATTTAGAAAGGCGGATAATGATTTAATGAAGGTAAATGAGTGTTTCTAACCAGGATAATCGGCAATATTTGAAATGTCAGTAATCAGTGGTTAACATTTAAATTTTATGATTTACTTGAATATTTAATTCACGAATGTAAGCTTCTATTCTAAATAGTGTAAGTATATATTTTATTACTAGTAGTTTTAAAGTCAGACAATTCTTGAAAGTTATGACACTGGACGTTAAGTAAACATCAGTTAATCCCAATCAATCTGGGTAAAACATTGATAGAAAATATCATATATCAATTTCACAAGTTGTAATATTTTTATTATAAAGTCAATATCACATGATGATGTGGCAAATTGCTCTATTTCAAAGACACACTCATATATCATAGAAAAATCGAGTTGGATGCTGAAAGGATCATCAATAGGCTTGATACAAATTTACAATTGTCAACTTCATTTTCTAATTATTGGCAAATTAGCTGCGGATGGACCGTAAATCAAAAGGTGTTACTAGATATGCAATTGACATAATTTATACCATGCATGTATTGACTTTTTATTCAATATTGCTAATTAAGAACAGCGTTTAAATCACATAGCCTTTTAAGTATATACGCATTCCTAGCTTTCCTTTAAATTAATTTTGGGTTCCAGATGAAGTCAAATATAGACAAAAGCTTCGAACATAATACATTCCCTCGAATGTTGGACTGCTATGATCTGATATTTTCATAAGCTCAGTATGTTGCGCACAGCAATTAAAATTTGTAACATCAATTTCTGATAACTGATAATTTTCTGTATTTTCTATAGACAAAATTGGCATTTTGTGATTTATTCTTTTATGAATTTTTATCTTACGTGTTTATGTTAAGGATGTTCGCTGTTCTTTATTGTGACTGTGGTCAGATATTTGGAATGATTTGATTTTATCGATCAATTGCAATTAAAATTTGGCAGGCTTACACTTATTTTCTTTACATAATTTTATTACAATTAGGTTAAACAATCATTTTTGAAAATCTTATACAAAGCTTGTTGTTGTTTCATAGTTTACGAAAGAAAACAAATGTATCAATGTTAAATGTTTTTATCAGTAAGGCATGCCTATATATCAATTAGGCCTTAGTTTTTTGACAAAAGTTATTGTTGTTGGCCAACCACTACCTAATTACATTATTTCTTTAACTTATCGTATATGATACGTGTAAAGGAAATTGTGTAATTATTGAAAAATCTGCGAGGTAAATCAGATCACATGTTGTTACTTAATGTTATTTGTTATTCTTATTATGTTTTGTATTTATTGGTCCCTGCTGTTTATCATTTGTCATGTTGTTAATATGTTTTCGTTGTTTTAACATATTTAATGCCTCATGTTATCATGTAATCAAGTATTCATTCATTAAAAAATATGAAGAGAACCATTTATTGCGAAATTCAGGATATTTGCTTTGAGCTCTACTTATGAAATACTTTAAGATTAAAAAATGCGTAAATTTGCAGCTATATGTTCATTTAAAAAATATATTTTTCAATATTAAATCAAGAACCGACACCAATAACGGTCATCAAGTCTAAAAAAAACACCATTGAATCTTGTGTTGGTAATCATTTCATTGGCCAAGGACACGGACCTTTAAGCTGGTCATTTAGTTCCATTGTCCATATACTATCAATGTACAACAGTTTTGTTAAGGGCTTGTTATTTTAAATCAGAGCATCTAACATCTTTAAACTATAAAATGACTATATAAATTGAACATTATTTTGAGTTTTACTTGTGAAACACTTTTAAGATTAATCATTGCGTTAACTTGCATCCATATGTTCATTTAAAAAAAAATTAACATTGAATCAAGAACAGACATCAAGTAAAAAAAAAAAAAAAAAGATTACTGCATATCTTGATGGATACCATATCCTTAGTATTATTTTTCTCGTAAAACCGAAACCTTATTGCAGTTGTGATATTATAGTTCTGTACCCAAAAATTCAAAAGATTAACTCAATCATACACCTTTCTCCTAGTTTTGATATTTTATTTTACACCATTAAACATTTATGAAATTTACCTAATTATGATCAATGTTTTTAAATAGTCAGCCCGTTTATCCTTTGAACAATTCACATTAATCTTGTAGCTATGATGTCATGAGCTCATGCGCAAAATATGCCACAATGTAGTAGAAAATCGTAAACAAACTTATTTATATTACAAAATATGGCTGTTCTTATTTTAAAAGGTCTATTATTTCATGTATTTGAAATCTTTTAAATTTAGTTTAACAGTGTAATGATTCCATTATCAGTTGTATTACAACTGGTACCACTATTACTCGTTTAATGTATGTAAAGTTGATAAAAATAAATGATTATATAATTAATCACAAATGCTTGATAAGAAAAACAGTACAAGCCAAACATATACTACGTTTCTATACTTATTTACGATGTATCATTTATAAACTTATTTTTTTACAGGGCAATGGAAAAATATACTTTATTTGTTGTGATGTTTTTGACTGCAATAACAGGTAAAGTATACCTGTATCCATGCGAGATTGCACTTAAATGGGTGTTTTCATATTATAAATGCATTATGTTCATAGACAGTCGTGTTGGGTCGTGGTAAGCTGACTGATAAAAGAAACACCACTGTAGGAAGACGTATACAACAGGATCAATATGCACTATTTGCGTTAATTGTCTCTCTAATGGAAGGAATGTCGAATAACACGAAAAACATGATAATGTGCGATGCATTATCCTTTTATTCACCGATAAAAAAGATTTTGAGTCTCTCGATTTGTACACGAGTTATCACCTATTAAAATGACGTTTCTGGCGTATGTTAACAAACATGACACAACTTTGAGGTCAGAACTGGTCCGTGGAGTAGGGTTACAAAGATACAAATATTTGAAATCCATCTGCTGCTGAGGCAATATCACAAACGGCCCTTTTCATGGACACAAACAATTTACAGAAAGAATCTACATTTACTGTACACAGGAGCTCATATGTGGCGTTTGAAGTCAAAATATTTCTCTGGCGTACTTTTTTTGACAACTAATTTGTCGCTATAGTAAGAAATGTACAAGAGCTTTTTTGACATGTATTTCCTCCAAAGGTCCACAAGGCCCTGTGCTAAAATAGAGTCCATTCGAAACGGTGCATATCCAAGATTGTCAACCCTTCAAATTTCTCTCACATTGGAATGCGCTGTCAGAAAAATAATATTGTTGACAATTCTGGATATTCCAAACTTCTACCGTCCATAATTTGTATACTACACTTAGTATACTAAACTTAGACTGCAAATCAAAATTTTTATGGTTAATGACCACTGAAGATAAACATATATTTAAAAAAATAAGTAGTTTTCTTATCAAGAGTTTTGAATTGAGATCCACAAATTCTGTAAATGGCTAAATCTCTTTTAGTTTATCTATATATATTTTAAATTCAAAATTTTAATACACATTACTCTATCTATGTGTATGCATATTTCATCTATTTATATGTAAATGCTTATATATGCGTTAATAAACCGAAGTCAAATTCCTAAGGTGCTTATCCAATTCTTGCAATTTTAAAAAAAGATTATATACATAAATATCTAGTAATTGGTTGCTGTGTGTACATGGGAGAAAACTACCCTTATATCTAATCAGTTATTTTTATGCAGCTCTAAACACCATATCTTCAAAGACTATTGGATACTGTTTAAAGGGGAATAATCCTTACATACATTGATTGTCTCCCATATTACTTTCTCTTCCATGTGCATGCAATAACTGTTCAGTGTTCTATTGTGATGTATTTTATTTTATTATTTCATTGTTATAACACAAATCAATATAATCATTGTATAAAATTTAAAACCCGCAAGGGTCCATAATTGGATTATTAAAGTATTCTTATTCTTATTCTTATACTAAAAAAAATATAGCATATCAAAAATAAAATCAACTCTAACATAAAACATGTTGAAATCTTATGTTTAGCGTAATATATGTATTGATTTATGACACCTTTTGAATCCTGTATTATAGCCAGGAAAAAATCTGTACTATGCAGCTTTTCTATATATGACTTGTTTGACTGACCCCCTGAATCGTATTAAAAAATTGAAAACAACACGTTTAATAATTGTATGCGTCCGAAGCGCTTTTCTGGATTTACCTTCATCTGGAACGCTCAAAGCCAAACATTTGAAATCAGAGGGATTTATAAGTACCGAAACAGTTGAAGAGCTATATGACAAAAATACTCAAAACAAATAGCCAAATTCATCTAAGGTCAACATTGCCTGAAGGAGTTGAAACCTTAGTTTCATTATAATTTCGAAATTTATAAACGGACAATTTTAGAAAGGTTTGTTATAAATCATGTCAGTACCGAAGTACTGACTACTGAGCTGATAATACCCTCGGGGACTGATAGTCCACCAGCAGAGGTATCGACCCAGTGATGTACAAAATTGAAAACAACACATTTAATAATTTTATGCATCCGAAGCGCTTTTCTGGATTTACCTTCACCAGGAACGATCAATTAAATGGAAAATCTATAATAAATTTGAAGGTATTGGTTAATAAACTTCTGTATTGGTGAATGCTTATTTTCCAATGAAAAACTTTCAAACATTGCGGTGTGTTCTATCATTTCACAAGCAGCACGGATCGTCTATTCGAAGTTTATGTTTTAAATGCACAGTATACGTCTTTTGTGTCATTGATCATCTAACAATAAATTTTATAGTAATTCAATCGGCCACTACCGTAGATTTCCGATTTAATGCTGCCACCTCCTATATCACTTATGAATCGGTCCATAACATTCCTGGACAAAAGCAAACTATACTTAAAAAAAAACGGGTCTAACAAACTTAGCTTCTCACATAATAGGCCGAAACAAGAATCCAACCATTAAAGAACTTAGATAAGATTGTGAAAACTGTATCATTTGGTAAATTTGAAGAAAATAACTTAAATTAAATCATTGAAGTTAATAGTAATTTATTAAGTAGATTATACAAACAAATATATAAGAAAGAGTTACAAAACTTTGAATTTTTCGAAAAACTAAGGATTTTCTTATCCCAGGCATATATTATCTTAGCCATATTTGGCACAACTTTTTGGAATTTTGGGTCCTCAATGCTCTTCAAATTTGTACTTGTTTGGCTTTATAACTATTTTGATCTGAGCATCACTGTCTTGCGTATTAAATTATAATCCGGGTACCTTTGATAACTATTTGAACTTGCTACAATTAGTTGATTCTATATATACTAGTATAACACATTAGTTTTTCCGGAAATTGAAATGTTAAGCTATTTTTTATCAAATTTCCAGAAACATAGGAATCGGTTGTTTTACGTTAGATCGTTAGATATACTCAGAGGAGCCTGCTTAGATAATCAAGACATACATAAAGCATAGCCCAAAAGTAATAATCATACTGTTACTTGTTGCAGGTAACATATCGGTGAAAGCAGGATTATGTTATTTCACTATCGATTATTTGGACTAAATTTCAGTTTCACAACAAACAGAAAATATATTTAATCATATATGAAAATCAAGCAAATAGTAAATATACTTAATAAACAGCCGTTCTTTGAAGTTTGCAACACTTAAGAATTTCAAATTTGTGGAATGAAAGCGTTGTAATAAGTTTTGATGAATTGTCATTGATAATTATAATATCTTAACAGGTGTGTCAACGGAAATAATTCCGACAGGAGAATGTAAAGAATGTTCAGACGGTTCTCGCTGTGCTTATAGATGGCAATTCTGTGATAATTGGAATACTTGTGACAATGGAGAGGATGAAAACGAGGATATATGTAGAGGTATTAATGCTAAATGTTTACCTAAAAAGGGGGATATGTTATTCTTAATCATGTATAAAAAATGATTGTTTCATTTTGTATGTATAATTCATATTTTGATTTTAAAGAAGGTATTCCAGTTTTTCATCTTAGTTCCCTTTCAATATTGTATATTTAATAGTCTTAGAGATTTTAACAATATTACATAAATTATGAAAAGACAAACGGCAGTCTTCTACTGTTTTACCATGCTACTACTAGAAGCATCTTTTTTTTAGAAAGATAACATTATGCTCATGAAAAGTAATATCAGACGTACTGTAAATTCAGGAAGTATTGCGATGTTTTTATTATTGCATAAAATGCAACAGGGTTATAATTGCAATAATTTAAACTCGCATTTTGAAATTATGAGTATGAATTAAACAGGATTTTTTTCATTATCGCAAAAATTACAAAATCACAATAATAGATGCACACAATAATTTCTGAATTTACAGTATCTTAACGTCAAATATATATATATATCCGGTCAATTGGAGCAACATCAATTGCATGTACCTAAAATTACTTAATGACATACTTAGTTTACTTATTAATCTCATTAATGTGCATGTTTGTTTTAAGATTTGGAATGCGAAAAAGGCCAAATGAAATGTAACGACGGGATACATTGTTTTCCTGAATATACTTTATGTAATTACATCGCCTATTGTAAAGATGGTTCAGATGACGATCCTGAAATGTGCAAAGGTAAGTAGTGAGTATACTTAAAAGCTGGACAACATAATTCAAAAATTTACATACTTAATATTGTAGTATGTAATATGTTTTTTCTCAAAAAAGTAACGGCTTGTGTAACAGTATATTTGACTGTAGTAAATATATAACTGTAAAGAACATGCGTACTTTTACAAAGGAAATTCTAATAAGAAGTTGTTTAGCAAATAAATAACATTAACGCTATCAATTTTGCTACCACAAATACAATACTTTTATTCTAATTTTGGAGGCTCAATCATCTGTCCTTATATTACAGTTATTTTACTTTTACTTTCTATATGTATGCAAAAGTTAAGCTAAAATCAGCCTCTGTATTTATGCGATTGTAAGATTGAAACAACTATAAGAACAGGATTGTTTCGTCTGTAAACAGTTTCGAATTTGAAAAAAAAAACGACAACGAAAATACAAATAATAACACCATTACAAACATAACTCCCTTTTAATATTCGTCTCATGATTAGAATACATAAAATAACACCATTACAAAGTCAATCCCAATTTATTAAACCATTGTCGTGTCGTGAGCCTATTCATTTACCATTGATTCTTTTCATAGTATCAACGTTTTCTAAATCTGTCGCTGAAATGAGCTCACCAAATTATATTCAGTTGCTGATTTGTGTTCACTAGTGTGATAAATTCAAAAATCCTATCTTCAATTTTTTACAAATTTCAATACGCCTTCAGTGGGAATCGAACCCCACCTTAAAATCTCTTATGTGTGACTGGCATTAGCATATTGACGAAACTTCTCGGCTTCCGATGGGTTGAAATTTCGATGCAAAATATATATTGTATATGTTTGCGGCATACCATCTTCTCCGCTAGTTTATTGTTTTCTGTTTGGTATTAAATTAATAATTAAGATCCATGTTATATCTCGTGATCAATTTATTTGATAATCGTCAATGGCAGTCAGCAGGGTTTAAGAACATCAGTTGTTCGACCTGTTAGTCAAATGCGATTTGTTAAAATATACTTTTGTTGACAGTTTTGACTTTTCTACTCTTTACACTACACTACCACATAATCTAATCAAACAAAAATTTGACTATTTAATTAAATGGTCGTTTGGTAAATCTGAATGCAAATATATTTGCTGCAACTCATTTAAAGCCTTCGTCTCTAATGAGAAAGGTAAATATGCTAGATATACTTACTGGAGGTGTGATGAGATGATTGAAGCTGCTAATTTTCTCCTTGATAATATTTATGTACGATTCAGCAGCAAAGTTTATCGACAGGTTGTAGGCATTCCTATAGGCATTTATTGCGCCCCTTTAATAGCAGACTTGTTTTTGTACTGTTATGAATCACAGTTTATGACCAAACTCAGTAAAGACCCGTCTTAATTGCATTTAATTGATAAATTCAACAACACTTACCGTTATCTTAATGATAATTTTTCGTTAAATAATCAAGAATTTTTTAAATATACTACCGAAATTTACCCAAAGGAACTTACTTAAAATAAATCAAATTTAAACGGTAACAACTGTCCTTTCCTAGATTTAGATATTTCAGTTTTACACGGGAAACTCCACACTAAAAAACCAGGGATTTCGTTACCACAAATTACTCAAAACCTTTACTAAATTCTTCTACAGATACAAAGATTTGGTTTTGAAGTTTGGTTGTACCTGTAGAAAACTTATTTCAAACGGGATTGCACATCCTCATTTTTACGGCAATATTGTTTACCGTACCCGGAAATTTAGAAACGATCCTGGTTAACTTATCGATCTTTTAAATAAACTTATTCTAAAAGGTTACAAATTCAACACTGTAATCAGATCATTAAATATTTTTTTTATTGGTACTAATATTGATTTTGTTATCAGTAAATTAAAAGCAAACTTATTATTTTTTTTATATACATATACACATTCATAGATCTACAATCTGTCGATACCTGTATCTTGGCATTGCACAAGGTCATGTTTTTCTCTGACTGTTTATGATGTCTTTACACTAAATTCATTGGATGTTAGATGTGTACGGATTGATAATTTAGTCTTAGATGCATGATTTTTTTATTAGTTGTAAGTGGCTTTGAACTAGCTGTCAGTAACTGCAAGTACTCTCAGATCTGTACTTAGTGTCTTTTTGTTGTTTGGATGTACAAGTACCCGGACACGTCCACTTGCATTTGTAGTATTTGCATTTTATCCATCTGATGAGTTAAGCCTCTTTCAACTGATTGTTATAGTTCGTTCTTATTTTGTACTGTTACACCACTGTCCCAGGTTTGGGGAGGGTTGGGATCCCGCTAACATGTTTAACCCCGCAACATTCTATATGTATGTGCCTGTCCCATGTCAAAAGCCTGTAATTCAATGGTTGTCGTTTGTTTATGTGTTACATATTTGTTTTTCGCTCATTTTTTGTACAAAAATTATGCCGTTAGTTTTCTCGTTTGAATTGTTTTACATTGTCATTTCGGTGCCTTTTATAGCTGACTGTGCGGTATGGGCTTTGCTAATTGTTGAAGGCCGTACGGTGACCTATAGTTGTTAATTTCTGTGTCATTTTGTCTCTTGTGGAGAGTTGTCTCATTGGCAGTCATACCACATCTTCTTTTTTTATATTTTCACTGTTTTGGTCTTTTGGAAAATGTTGTTTGTGCTGTATTTGGACCCCTCTACCAAAAAATTTGTTTTACATGCACAGGTATAACAATTGCAGTTTTTATCCAACGCAATCATAGGTTTGAACGTTTTTTTCAATTTAGATTTGTTTATATTTTTTCGTTTGGGCTTGTATTATATTTTCCTTACGGTTTATATGATCCGTTCATCCTATTTCGACTCTTTAAAATTCAAGAGTCTATCCTAAATTGAGGTAAATTATATGGCCTTCCAAATACCGTTTCGATCCCTAACATCACTGAATATACATTAATTGTCGAAATCCGGATATGGTGTACAAATTTTTGCACCTCATGTTTGCGGTATACCATCTTCTCCGCAAGTTTATTGTTTTCTGTTTGGTATTACATTAATAATTAAGATCCATGTTATATCTCGTGATCAATTTATTTGGTAATCGTCAATTGTCAATGGCAGTCAGCAGGGTTTAAGAACATCAGTTGTTCGACCTGTTAGTCAAATGCGATTTGTTAAAATATACTTTTCACTTTTTTGGTCTTTTGGAAAATGTTGTTTGAGCTGTATTTAGACCCCTCTACTAAGAAATTTGTTTTACATGCACATGTATAAAATTTGCGGTTTTTATCCAACGCGATCATAGGTTTGAACGTTGCTTTCAATTCAGACTTGTATATATATATGTTTTGTTAAAATATACTTTTTCACTTTTATGGTCTTTTGGAATATGTTGTTTGTGCTGTATTTAGACCCCTCTACCAAGAAATTTCTTCTGCATGCACACGTATAAAAGTTGCGGTTATAATCCAACGCAATCATAGGTTTGAACGTTGTTTTAAATTTAGACTTGTTTATATTTTTTCGTTTGGGCTTGTATTATATTTTCCTTCGGGTTTATATGATCCGTTCATCCTATTTCGACTCTTTCAAAATTCAAGAGTCTATCCTAAATTGAGGTAAATTATATGGCCTTCCAAATACTGTTTCGATTCCGAACTTCACTGAAGAGACAATAATTGTCGAAATCAGGATATGGTGTACAGATTTTTGCACCTCATGTTTGCTGTACAAATTAATAATAAGATCCATTTTGTAATATCTGGTGCTCCGTTTACTTTCAATTTAGACTTGTATATTTGATTGCCAAATAAACAGATCACCAGATGTAAAAATGGATCTTAATTTATTAACCAAATACCAAACAGAAAACAATAAACTTGCGGAAAAGATTGTATACCGCAAACATGAGGTGCAAAAATTTGTACACCATATCTGGATTTCGACAATAAATGTCTCTTCAGTGATGTTAGGAATCGAAACGGTATTTGGAAGGCCATATAATTTACCTCAATTTGGGATTGACTCTTGAATTTAGAAGAGTCTAAATAGGATGAACGGATCATATAAACCCGAAGGCATATATAATACAAGCCCAAACGAAAAAATATATACAAGTCTAAATTGTAAACAACGTTCAAACCTATGATTGCGTTGGATAAAAACCGCAATTTTTATACGTGTGCATGCAAAACAAATTTCTTGGTAGGGTGGTCTAAGTACAGCACAAACAACATTTTCTAAAAGACCAAAAAAGTGAAAAAGTATATTTTAACGAAACGCATTTGACTAGCAAGTCGAACAACGGATGTTCTTAAACCCTGCTGACTGCCATGGCGATTGCCAAATAAACAGATCACCAGATGTAAAAATGGATCTTAATTTATTAACTAAATACCAAACAGAAAACAATAAACTTGCGGAAAAGATGGTATACCGCAAACATGAGGTGCAAAAATTTGTACACCATATCCGGATTTCGACAATAAATGTCTCTTCAGTGATGTTAGGAATCGAAACGGTATTTGGAAGGCCATATAATTTACCTCAATTTGGGATTGACTCTTGAATTTTGAAGAGTCAAAATAGGATGAACGGATCATATAAACCCGAAGGCATATATAATACAAGCCCAAACGAAAAAATATAAACAAGTCTAAATTGAAAACAACGTTCAAATCTATGATTGCGTTGGATAAAAACCGCAATTTTTATACGTGTGCATGCAAAACAAATTTCTTGGTAGAGTGGTCTAAATACAGCAAAAACAACATTTTCCAAAAGACCAAAAAAGTGAAAAAGTATATTTTAACGAAACGCATTTGACTAGCATGTCGAACAACGGATGTTCTTAAACCCTGCTGACTGCCATGGCGATTGCCAAATAAACAGATCACCAGATGTAAAAATGGATCTTAATTTATTAACTAAATACCAAACAGAAAACAATAAACTTGCGGAAAAGATGGTATACCGCAAACATGAGGTGCAAAAATTTGTACACCATATCCGGATTTCGACAATAAATGTCTCTTCAGTGATGTTAGGAATCGAAACGGTATTTGGAAGGCCATATAATTTACCTCAATTTGGGATTGACTCTTGAATTTTGAAGAGTCAAAATAGGATGAACGGATCATATAAACCCGAAGGCATATATAATACAAGCCCAAACGAAAAAATATAAACAAGTCTAAATTGAAAACAACGTTCAAACCTATGATTGCGTTGGATAAAAACCGCAATTTTTATACGTGTGCATGCAAAACAAATTTCTTGGTAGAGTGGTCTAAATACAGCACAAACAACATTTTCCAAAAGACCAAAAAAGTGAAAAAGTATATTTTAACGAAACGCATTTGACTAGCAGGTCGAACAACGGATGTTCTTAAACCCTGCTGACTGCCATGGCGATTGCCAAATAAATAGATCACCAGATGTAAAAATGGATCTTAATTTATTAACTAAATACCAAACAGAAAATAATAAACTTGCGGAAAAGATTGTATACCGCAAACATGAGGTGCAAAAATTTGTACACCATATCTGGATTTCGACAATAAATGTCTCTTCAGTGATGTTAGGAATCGAAACGGTATTTGGAAGGCCATATAATTTACCTCAATTTGGGATTGACTCTTGAATTTTGAAGAGTCAAAATAGGATGAACGGATCATATAAACCCGAAGGCATATATAATACAAGCCCAAACGAAAAAATATAAACAAGTCTAAATTGAAAACAACGTTCAAACCTATGATTGCGTTGGATAAAAACCGCAATTTTTATACGTGTGCATGCAAAACAAATTTCTTGGTAGAGTGGTCTAAATACAGCACAAACAACATTTTCCAAAAGACCAAAAAAGTGAAAAAGTATATTTTAACAAAACGCATATGATAAGTTTACTTACTACAACCGTTTTATAGTTATATTATTTTAGCATGTTTAAATCGCCATATCGTAATTGCATTACTGTAATTATTAAGTCGCCTTAGTGATTCTGCAATTTTTTACAGAACGAACGTGTCCAACTAATACAACGAAGTGTAGTGATGGCATTGCCTGTTATTCGCCAAAAGATCGCTGTAATGGTGCCGAATTGTGCAAAACTGGTGATGATGAAGATATAGAAATGTGCAAAGGTTGGTTTTTAGTGCAAAATGTTTATAATAATTCTGTATTGTATCACAGATTTCTTGACGGGCACTGGTTGATAAAATGCAGTTTTACATATATATATACAAGACGATGTGGTATGAGTTCCACTCAGTTCACTAAATACAATAGCATTAATACACTCTACAATTATTACATGATTAAATAAAAACACGTCCATTCACTTTTCATCTATTCTTTTCAAAGTACAAGGTATGATAAGGGGTGTTTTTGGCCCCCTTTCCAAATAAGTTTATATTAATATGATTGATGGTCTAAGTATAGAAACTTGAAAAAACATTGATTTTATATAGTTTTGGTGAAAGGATGGTTGCTTAGCAACGGTTTTTATTAAGTATCAAAATCATCACATATTAATTGCTTTATCTGTACAAATTCAAATATTTCAAAATAATGTTGTTTGTCCAGGAAGAACTTGAAGTCACAAATACAAATTCCCTTTGATTTCGTTTGCTATATGCTTAACAACAACCTTTCAACCAAAATGCTGCCTAGCAACGGTTAAAAAATGGGTGTTTCTCCCTCTGAAGTATGCATATAGCAGTTGTTTGAAGATATTTCTTTTCCATATGGTGTTTCATTCCCATTTACTGTCATATACATCTTTATTCTTAACAAATTCCGTATTAAGCATAGCAACACAAATGTTGCTTAGCAACGGGAAAAAAAAATATGTTTGAATTAAAGACAACTACAAATCAATTAGTCATTTTATCGAACAAATTGAATTAAATGTAATGCAGATTGTCTGTTGATGAACACCTTAAAGTTAGAAATGAAAAGTTAGTTCGATTGTAGTTTACTTAATGCTGATCAACAACTTAGCAACATAACAAGTGCATAACAACCGTTCAATAATGGGTTCTAAATGTTATCTGAAGTATGAATTTAGTATTTTTAAGGAATGTGCCTTCCCATATGGTGCAACATTATAATACAAGCATCTAGAGTATCATTAATCTTTCTTGACGAATTCCATATCGAGCATAGAAACCCACATGATGCTAAGCAACAGCAAACTTTTTTAAAAAATTAAAAACAACTACACAACCTATGTTTCATGTGAAGGTTTTTTAATGAAAACAAGAATATAAAAGATTTTCTAATTAGGGGTGGGTCTGAAAAGATTTTAAAGATATTTAACAGTTAATGAAATGAAAGAGATGTTGTTTGTACCACGCATAGTCCTCGTATGATATAAAATGTCTTATCCAGGAATTATTCTTTCGGTGCAGTAAAAAGAAATTGACATAGCCTGAAGGAATATATAAATGGTTTTAGGGTTGGGCATATACAACTCAATCATATCACCTTGAAAGTCAAAGGTCAAGAACAAAACTTCAATTAGTTTGACCTTGAGATCAACGGCAAATGTCATAATGAAATTAAACTGATATTTCATGGCTATACACCTAATGCCAAATATCATAAGTCAATGTAAAAAAATAAACAAATGTTGGCTCGGACAAGTGTGAATGAGAATAAAATCCAGAAAAAAAAGAGGAAGAAGAATACTTAAGTTAAACATAATGTATCCATTCTGTTCTTCGAAACCAGGGAAAAATGACAAAGAAAAGTGAGAACTAAGCACTGAAAAAACTGCTGTTTCTTTCACGATTAAATGAAACATGGACCGATTTTCTTTATCTGTAATTATGATGTGGATACTGGCGATGACAAACAACGATTCCTCTTTCATGTCGTTTTGATTTGTTTAACATCATGTAAAATTCAGAGTATGTGTTTATTCAGCAATATGTATTTTTTCGTTATTTTTTTATAATTTTGTTTATCAAAATGAACAATTATACTTGGACATGTAAGATACTAATAAGAGTATATGATTACAGAAGTCAATTCTTTCGGTGGAAGCGTATGTTAAAGCGTGGAATTATATCAATAAGAAGGATTCTTACTATAAACACCCTTCATTTGAGTCATTGTACAATTAAATAAATAGAAGAAATGAATTAAAACTATACAAAATCTTGTCAAAACTGACTGCACATTAAATGTTTTATCAAATCATACAATTCAAAAAGTTGTAATCGAATGACATTTGGTTGTTTCAACTTTTTATTATCAATAATTACATTACATTTATGTCTCATAAGAAGCCATATTTTAATTGCATAACAACAATTGAGAGGCATCCAGCAAAATGCAACATTTATGACAGCACGTACTTTACTTGACAACATCACAAGAATGCATATGAAAACATTACATACGAAACATTTGATGTAGCATTAAAATCAAATAACGCTTTGAATGCCTCTTTTGTAAAAGAGGGACGAAAGATACCAGAGGGACAGTCAAACTCATAGATCGAAAAAAAACTGACAACGTCATGGCCAAAAATAAAAAGACAAACAGACAAAAAATAGTACAGATGACACAACATAGAAACTTGTAACTTCCGCGCTTCATCCAAAATATGCTACGGTCATCGCTTTACACCCCAATTACAAGCAATAGTATTTGATTCTTAATAAGTCCATTAATTAAATACGAAAAAACAAACAGCTAAGAATAAAAGTGATGATATGTTTAGTATTTTTTCCAAGTTAGAAATATCAAACATTTATAATCACATTTGTCTATTGTAGTTAATTTTCGAATATTAAATATTCATCTTTTAAAACACCATGCACATTTTGGTGCACAGTTTCGCTATGTTAGTCATTTTCCCACCAAGCATTAAACTCATGAGACAAATACCGCCTCAGTTGTCTCGTGGAAGCGTATTCACCTCGAGTACCGGATATCATGGGTTCTAGGCAAAGACCTTAAAATTGGTATTTGCTGATTTTCTGTATCATGTGGCATTCAGGGGTAAAAGCTGAGACTAGTTGGCTCGGAGTCAGAATATATAGTGTCAAGTTAGGGTGATATATTTTCCTGCAGACTGTAACTTTATGAGCTAGCAAATTAAAAGTAGTACCACAAACAACCCATGCAGAACCACGATGTCCAGTATAGTCAGCACTTCTGTGTTATCATGAATTAGCATTGATATGGTCATATTTATAAGCTAACTGTTTATAAAAATTTGAAATGTTTGGAAAACTACGGCTTATCTACTCAGAAATAGATAACCTTAGCTGTATTTTGCAAAACGTTTCTGAATTTGAGTTTTTATGGCCTTTGACTATCTTATTCGACCGTCACTGATGAGTCTTTTGTACACGAAACACGCGTCTGGCTTACAAAATTACAAGCATGATATTTTTGACTTGACGCTTTTTTTCCTTTGATATTCAATATTCGTTTTTCTTTTCTTTGACGTGTAAATATCTGATTAAAAAACTAAACGAATCTTTTATTTATTTAAATTTGTTTAAAATCATTATAGTATAACAATTAAAGAGGAGATATAATTGATTGAATGTTGTTTTCTGACCGTCCAGTGGCAAACGCTTTATGCATATGTTTGACGAAAAATAATATAGAGAATAATTTTCATTTAAGAAATACGAAGTGGCACGCGTTTTCGCTGAAAAACAGCAGCGGGAAGGCGGGAGACAATTGCAAATGATAAAAACTACACCATGACCAAACATGTACTTAATATACACAATAGTGTTGGATAGTTTTGTTTGATCTTTTTTACTGTTACACTAACAAAATTGAAAAATCAAAATTGTCATATGGTGTCTTCTTATGTCGTATGAACTACAATGTATGTTATTATTCACAGTTTTGTAATGTATTTGACGCCATCCGTAATGATTGCCTAAAATGTCAAGTTGGCATTTCATACCTGATAGAAATGCGGACGTGAAAGAAAGCATTTTTCATAAAAGCGTCAATGGAGATAAATACATTCGGCGAAGATTTCGGCGAAGATTTCGTCATTTATGAAAAAAAATATGTTTTTCTAAAGGGTAAATTTGTACTAAAATTAAATGTTGATATCAATATCGATCTGTTGAGTATAGAAATTATATTAAGTATTGGTGCTTCTGTTTAGAATTCACCATTTCACGGAGATTACATGCTTAACAAATCTTTGCAGTTTTTACGCTTTAGACATATGTACGCTTCGACATAAGTAACGCCTGTGTCACAGTGTCCTTAATATTAAAATTTAATCGAAAAGGAACTGTTTGAGTATCAACCAGTTATTAAATGATTTTGTTTCATTTACATTTCTAAATTTCTCGGAAGTTTGTCAAAGTTCCTTCTGATTTTGTGTCAGAACTCAACGGTATGCTAAAATGTCACTTTAAATTCATACAATAATAAATGCAGGAATATCCTGTGTTCCTTTCTCGTAGATGTTAAATATTTGCCATACGAAAACCATTCATTATAGCACGAAGTCTGTCGTCGGATCTAGTAAATACCGGAAATCATCTCCGGTCCGCAGTTTGTTTAAATATTTCGACGATTCAATGAAAACTATGACGATTTTTTTTCACCTTTTTTTAATTCTTAACTATGAGCGTACCTTCGGCCCACTAAGATATTTGAACTGCATCAACATTTATATTCAAGAATGTTAGATATAAATATGATCGTGGATTATAGGTAGGCTCATAGTTTAAAATGCAGAAAAAAGTTTGGAAACTGCCATTTTTCTGCCCTTTTCGCGAATCCCAAGCAACAAAGCATGAATAATATAAGCGGAAGTTGACAAATATATTGGTGTCTACAAAATATAGGTTTACATTTTAAAAATATAGAATTATAATTCATGGCATATCACTTTTAATTTGAACGAAAATTGGGTGGGCCGTTCTCTGATGCTTATCGTACCTTGTCCTTTTGCATTCTCAAACTTGTATATCACTTCCTTCGACTGCCACTTTCACAATTTTTATAACACATCAAAGCATTATTAGCCTCATTATCATACAACTATAGGGGCACAATATAATCGAGCATTAAAATAAGTCATAAAATATACGGCGTGATCCAACAAGGTTCGAACGTAAAAACACAGCTGTATCATACATTACAG